AACAAAAACTTTTTCATTTGAATAATGAAGTCATTGAGGCTGAGTTTTGGCAGTCTGCAGCATTAGGACTTCGGTTTTTCTCAGAGTAGTTCAATTTTCAGAATAAAAAACATAAATGTCCATACACCTTTAAAATAAAATTCTAAATTATGAAAAGTTTAAATTATGGATTGCCTTTTTTTGACCCTATGAGTTGGAAAGAAGTAGACCATTGTGGCATTGTGGTTGCATGCAGAAATTATCAGAGTAGCCTGTATGGTCATTCTTTATATCTTAAAATGAGATTGGCAATGACTTGGAGGGATGTGGGAAACAGGAAATGTTTGCTTGCAACAGCTGTCCTCAGTGCTTTATGTAAGAATGAGGGGTCTATCAGGGAATTCACACAGACAACAAAAAGTCAGTTAAAATATAAACTCTCACCATCTACTTGTTATTGCTTGGATCTGTACATTTTCCTGAGAATATTAAGAATCAGGTAAATGCAGAATGGGAATTTAGAGGGATTTAAATGAGTCTAACTATAATGCAGATTTTACAAAAAAAATTTACAAATGGGCTTTCAGTCAGAATGTTGGCTTTATATATCAAAGGTATAAGGACAGCAGAATGGCTTCTTGCCCAGGAAGTAGCAAACAGAAGTGTCAGTCTAGGCTCCCTGCTTAGGTCAGCCAGAATAGGGGTTACCGTATCTATTTGTATTAGTTGCAATTGATATAAGAAATAATTCAAACTGACTTCCAAACTCAATATAGAGTTGTCTCTGAAATTTTTTATGCCAAATGTTTTCTGCTGGATTTTTTTTTTCTGCTCATTACAGTACATTTAAATATCTTAACTTTTTAAAAAAGTATATCAGTTAAATGTTCTATGACCAAGTGACTCTCAGCTGTTCCAATCTGATAAAAATCGCCTTCCTTCCCTCTTCCCACTTCCTCATCTAAAGCAAGGCAGATTTTGTGAATTTCCTTTTTAAAGCTTTTTCCTTTTATATAAAATTTTTATTGTAGATTTGTTTTCTATTTCTTTTTTTTTAATATTTTATTGTTGGTTGTTCGAAACATTACATAGTTCTTGATATATCATATTTCACACTTTGATTCAAGTGGGTTATGAACTCCCATTTTTACCCCGTATACAGATTGCAGAATCACATCAGTTACACATCCATTGATTTACATGTTGCCATACTAGTGTCTGTTGTATTCTGCTGCCTTTCCTATCCTCTACTATCCCCCCTCCCTTCCCCTCCCCTCCCCTCTTCTCTCTCTACCCTCTCTACTGTCATTCATTTCTCCCCCTTGTATTTCTAAAATTCACTCAAACTCACCTAATTATCTCTTATACTTATATCTGGTAAGCATCCACTAAATGTTACAGTATTAATTTAATCTAATGGAATTGTCTCCCAAAATTGCACTACAGTTTCACAGTAAGAATGGCACTATGCCATGGAAATATATGTGTCCTTATAGAGCTGTCATTGGTCTAGATGTATAGGATGATGATGTTCAAGGAATTGTTGCTATAGCTACCTCCTTCAGAATTACCCTACAAAAATTAATTTGTTGTTCATTGATTGTTTAAATGTAGCTGATACATAAAGTTTATGTATAATACGAGATTCAATTATAAACAAGTATATATTGAGCATGCATTATATGCCAGACACTGTTCAAAGTGCTTAAGTATCATTAAGTAACAAAACAAAGATTCCCACAATTGTGCAGCTTTGCATTTTCCTTGGAGGAAGTAAAATAACATAAGTAATTTATATAGTATAATAGATAATGATATATGCTGTGGACAAAGGTAAAGTAAGATCAGCAATGCCTGAAGGAAGGTATTGTGAACATCATTAAGCTAAGCATATTATTGCAGTGATGTCTATTACATAGAAAATAAGAAATAAGAAAATAAAGCAATGAGAATGAGGCCAGGCAGATTACTAAATCTAGGTAGTAGTCTAGAATTCATTTCTATAGTGAGCATTATGTGCAGGACACTCTGATTTACTTTGAAGGGTAAAGTTGATCAAAGATGAATTAAATGTTGACTCTTGCCCTCAAGACCTATTGCAATTAATGAGGAAAGACAGATATGTAAACAAAACTAAATAGTAGTTCTAAACAGCAATATACATATGGTTGCTGAAAGGAAAAAGCAATTAATTTGTCTGGGAGATGAACCAGGAAAGCAGAGAAAGGTTTAGCCCAAGCAAAGTTTTTACAAAGGGTAAAAAAAGATTGATAAAATATAACAAAGAACTTTTCTGAGAAAATACTTGAAAATAGAGAAGATTCGGATGACTGTGAGGAAGAGGTTAATGTAATCCCATTTGTCTCTTTTTGCTTTTGTTTCCATTGCTTTTGGGTTCTTTTTTTTTTTTTTAATTCCTTATACATTCTCCAATTTTTTTTCCTAGTAAGCATCTAATTTCATTCTTTTGCATATAGATATTTGCCTTTCCCAGACCATTTACTGAAGAGACCATCCTTTCCCCTTTGTGAGTTTTCAGCCCTTTTATTGAAGATCAGATGGCAACCAATATATAGTTTCATTTCTGGGCTTTCTATTCTATTCCACTGGTATGTGTGTCTTTTTATGCCAACACCATGTTGTGTTGATTACTGCAGCTTTGTATAGTATATTTTATGTCAGCTAGTATAATGCTTCCTGCTTTGTTCCTTTTGCTCAAGATTACTTTGGCTATTCAGGATCTTTTGTGTTGCCATACAAATTTTAGCATCTTCTTTTTTCTGATTCTCTGAAGTATATCATTGGCATTTTGATAGAGATTTCATTGACTAGAGATTATTTGGGGTGGTATTGACTTTTAATATTGTTGATTCTTCCAACCATGATCACAGGATATTTTTCCATTTTGTGTGTACATATTGCCTTTAATTTCTTTCATCAGTATTTTTATTATTTCCATTGTAGAGCTGTTTCATCTTCCTGGTTAAATGTATTCCTAGGATTTTATTGATTGATTGATTTTTGTGGCTATTGTAAATGGGATTGCTTTCTTTATTTCTTTTTTAGATAATTCACTATTGGTATATGGAAACATAACTGATTTTTAACATTGATAATGTATCCTGCAACTTTGCAGAATTTGCTTATTTGCTAATGTTTTTAAGTAGAATCTTGGAGGGATTTTTTTGTATAAAAGATCATGTCATCTATAAACAGCAAGAGTTTAACTTTTTCATTTCAAATTTGGATGCCCTTTAATTCTTTTTCTTGCCTGATTGCTGTGGCTAGGACTTCCAGTAATACATTGGATAAAAGTGGTAGAAGTGGGTATCCTTATCTAGTTCTAGCTTTTAAGATTTTATTTGAATATTAAAATGTGAATAGAAGAGTCTCATTAACCTTCTTTCAAATAAATTACTCTTCAGTTTATCAGCTTAAAAAGTATCCTATAAGTCTTTATTTTCTTATTAAAAAATAAATAAATAAAACATTTTAGGCTTTGGGGCCAGGGGAGGTGGTGTTATTTTTATTTTAGTGCTTGGAACTCAGCACAACATAAAAAAATAAATGTCATGCTATCCATTTACAACTATTAAAAAAAGTTAAAACAACAAACCATGGGGAGCCAGGCACAGTGATGCACACCTATAATCCCAGTGGCTTAGGAGACTGAGGCAGGAGGATCAAAGCCAGCCTCAGCAACTTAACAAAGCCTTTAGCAACTTACTGAGTCTATCTCAAAATAAAAAATAAAACAGTGTAGGAATGTGGCTCAGTGGTTAAGAGGCCTTGTTCTGATACAGTCCTGACATTTTTCACTAACAATTTTGTTATATTTATTGAGTGAATAAATGAATGAGAAAGTTAATGAATGAATGTCATCTCCCAAGGTCAATCACCATTAACAACTTATTTGTGAGTGTATGGATATAACTTTACCTACTTTCATCAAGCTTGTTTCCTTACATTGAGAGAATTCTAGGCTGTTTCCTTTTCGGGCTCATTTATAATCAGCTATAGGTAAAATAATATATGTCATAGGTGGTAAAAGTGGATTATAAAATCTACAAAGCAAAGCACCATGTCATTTTCTATAACTCTCAACATATGATGCAGTTTCTTACTTATAAAAGTACTCTCTAGGAATTTGATGGCAAAACATTTGAGGGCAGCAACCATAAAAAGATAAGCCATCAATAATGAGAAGATGGTATCTAATATTTTCAAGGAAAAAAACACAGATACTCAAAAATTTATTGAAATTTGAGACATTCATGTAAAGTGAATTTTTCATTTCACTGTTAATTTTCAGGAGAAACATTTTTACTATTTCAATAACAACGAAACTTCCCTTTTGATGCAGCTTTCATGATTAGGCAGGCATTCAGAAGCACAATGACATTTCAAGTTCTTGGACTGGCATTTTATTTATTTTTCACTTTAAATCAAATAGTTTTTACCATATACAACTTAATAAAATGAGATTTTTATGTTTATCTAGTTTGTTTGTTTCTGTTTGCTATTTGAATAAGAAATATTATATTCCTCTATTTAAGGTTATAGAACTTCTTAGCAAATACAGACTTGTGATGTTCTGTCTTAAAGCTGCAATCAAAATGAAAGCACAAGTTTAAAAAAATGTAGTTAGCTTTTTAATGGCATAAAATGTGTGCATATTATATATTAAACATATGTAGTTTGGGTTTGGTTTGGTACGGTACTGGGGATTGAACCCAGGGACACTAAACCACTGAGCCACATCTCCATTCCCTTATTTATATTTTATTTAGAGACAGGGTCTTGCTGAGTTTCTCGGGGCCTTGCTAAGTTGCTCAGACTAGCTTTGAACTTGTAATCCTCCTGCCTCAGTCTCCCAGTTGCTGGGTGTGTGCCACTGAGGCTGGCTCCACACATGGTCATTTGTGTTGGAGTGAATTTACAAATTAAGATTATAAGTTTTGCAAGATATAGAGTAGGTAAAGGAATTTTCATATTTTAACTTAATTTTTCTTTCTTGTCAGCCACCAGCTCTGCCCACTTGGAGGATCTTGCATACTTGGATGAGCAAAGACATACACCTTTGAGAACTTCTCTTCGAATGCCAAGACAGAGTATGGGTGGTGCACGCACACAGCAGGATTTAAGAGGTTAGAACCATGGAAGGGCTTTAGGGATACCTGGTAACAAATGAAAATGGGCAAAATTCCAAAAGTTCCATTTTTTCCCCATATCCAAACTTACTTAAGCCTCCCTTAAATAATTAATATTTCAATTATTATTTAATATTCATAATTCAATATTTATTAAATTTTATTATTTAGTAATTAGATCATAGAGATTTTAGCATATGACTAATTACTTCTATAAATAGATTGGTGATTACAAATATTTCTATAATAAGAATAATCCCTGAAAGCAACAAGTCCTTGAAATTCCGAAAGAAAACAAATGTTAAAGACTGGAGGAAATAACTTTTTGAAGATGGAGGATTTCAGATTAACTGTTGACCAACTTCAGCCCTAATCATATTGTTCGACTACATTGAACTTTGTACTTAGAATTATGTATTTAGAATTGAGAGAATTTTTTTCATTTTCATTCTAATGGCCATTCCTTATAACATGCAATACTTTATTTTCTTGGAGTTTCCAGCAATACCTCTAATTCTTTCCTAGCAACAACTTATCCTTTCCCACTTAGGCACCTGAATTTTTGTGTATTTGTTGTTTTTTGTTTTGTATATTAGAGATTGAACCTAGGAGCACTTAACCTCTGAGCCACATCCCCAGCCTGATTTTTATTTTGTATTTTGAGACAGGGTCTTTCTGAGTTGCTCAGGGCCTCACTAAGTTGCTGAGGCTGGCTTTGAACTCATAATCCTCCTGCTTCAAATCTCCCAAGCTGCTGAGATTACAGGCATGTACCACTGTGCCCAGCCTATTTCTTTTATCTTCTTTGTGGCCATGCTACATTCTTCTACAAGCAGGAACCTGATCTTTTCAGATTTTCATTTTGTTATAATAATGGTCTGGTTAAAGCGTGTATTATTGGTATCTGTGCCTCTTGTTTACTCAGAATGTACCAAACTGCCTCTGATAGTTTTAGCAGGTCTATTTTCCTCTAATAAATAGTGATCCATAATTTTACTGTATCAAGCATATTTTTTATCTTATATATTTTTTCATCTTTCCTTTGCTTTCCCTCTTCTCCCTTGTCCTATATCCTGCCCTAAGCAGGGCAGGATGCTTAACTCCCACAGGAAGAAATTTATACATGGCTGCTGTCCATTTTGCTAACAGTTTTTCAGTGATGGTTAAGGAAATAGTGTAAAATAATTGATTGTATGGCTACAGTTACCACACTTCCATCAAAATAGTTGATGGCCTCAGTCATAGTTTCAGTTCCTAAACCTTTTTGTCCATCCTGATTGCTGCTTGGTATAGGCAATTGTGTGTTTCCAGTCCAGAAAATGGAATTATGTCAAATACTACTTTAGATTATATCCAAAGCCTGAATAAATTTACCAAATAATTTATTTGTGCAAAGACCACAGTGCACTACACCATAATAAAGAAAATTAGACAGAACTACTGATTCATTCAGACATTCAAATTTATTTGAAAATCTGCCACATTGTCATCCCCTTGCATTTCACTACTGAAAAAATACTGATGTTATTAATATTATTTTTCATTTTTTAAAAATTATTGCATCATGGGTGTTATACTACATGGAAAACAAAATCAACCGATTTCAGTTGTGTTATTTTGGGAATTCTTCATTTTGAGTTATACTGATACTTGATAGCACATTTCTGCTTCTAGTATCTAAAGGTTTAATAAATTTTTGACAGACACGTTTTAACTTGATATTTGCACACAGATATCAGTTGTATCTAAAATATAACAAGATCTTTTCCATTATATTGCACTTCAGCCAGAACATTTAGTCAAACAACAAAACTACGTCCAAAAATTTTTTTCAAACATACTTACTTCTTTAGGAAGTTCTCCATCTGAGTAATGTATTTATAATAATACTAATTTCATAACCCTTACAGGAAGTGTCTTGGCTTACTTTTTATGTTAACACTTATGCTGAAGTTTGTCCAGTGATGAAAGTGCTATAATATTTGTGTTTCAGTTCCTTGGTGTTATCTTTATTTTTCAAGAGCTTCTCTCTCTCTCTCTCTCTCTCTCTCTCTCTCTCTCTCTCTCTGTAAGTTATAGATGGACACAATACCTTTATTTTATTTGTTTATCTTTTTAATGTGTTGCTCAGGATCAAACCCAGTGCTTCACAAATGCTAGGCAAGTGCTCTACCACTGAGCCATAACCACAGCCCCAAGAGCTTTTCTCTTAACAGTCTAAATGGTTAGAACATGCCATTCAAGTAGGTGCATTGATCCATTGATCCATTTAGGAATACTGACGTCTTCTAAGTTAACATATTCTAACTCAGAACTTAGAGGCCCTGGAGAATAATCTTCTCTTAGAAGGTAATATGTTATCTTAGTCACTGTTTACAAATGGATTGTATGACTTATTATGACTTAAAGCACATTAAGAAGAAAAGAAAACAAACTTGAAAAGAAAAACTTCCCTTAGGTTTCTGTAGTCCTCCTTGGCAGCCTCTATAACTTGTGATTATTATAGCCAAATATTGCACTTTATTGTAAGAAAATATTTAGATTGTTTCCCTGGAATAATTTTTTAAAACATGTTACATCATACTTTATAATTTTCAAGTAAAAGAACATATAAGTTGCAGCCATATTTCGGTTTTACATCCTTTTATTCTAATTATTATCAAAGTAGAACTATCTTATTCCCCAAAAGTAAAAAAATAATATGAGCTTTTTAAAATATGCATGAAAGTGTATATTTCCACATTACAGGTATCTTTCTACATTTTAAAGTATTACTCAGGTTCTCTGAAATAGTATTTTAGTCACAATTCCAATATTAAATGATTCTGGATCTTTAGAAATTATATTTGATATTCTTGTACACTGTGGTATATCCAGAGGTAACTAAGTTTATTGACTGATTCCAAATATAAAAACTGTCTGAAATAATGTCTGCCAGAGAAAAGTCTTAAGAGCATTTTGAGATGGCAGGCATTTATTGGAGTTTCATATAGATAGAGTTTTGCACTATTCTGTTTAGATCAGTGTTTCTCAAACTTTTTGGTCCCAGGACCCCTTTACACTCTTAAAATATTGTGGATGACCCTAAAAAGCTTCTTATTTATACGGATGAAATTGGTATTTACCATATCATAAATTAAAACTAATATACAAAATATTAGTTTTTAACTGTTATATATAATAATGTATTTTTAAATAATACAGATTTTTAAAATATCCATATATTTATTTTTTATAAACAGCAATAGATGTATTCATTGCATGTTAATATCATGTAAGCTATGGAAAATTCCACTGTACATTTGTGAGAGAATAACAGTAGAAAAAGAAAAATAGTCTCTTATAAAAATAATTTTGACTTTGAGGACCACGAGAACATGTCCTGAGAACCCCCAAGGATAACCATTTCACACTTTAAAAATCAATAGTTTATAGAGTATGCCATTGTAGTTGAAGATAAGTTTTGCCTCAAGGACCATACAGTCTGTTTACAGAAATGGAAAAAAAAAGTTGTTGGAAGTTGCTCATGAACATAGCTAAAAAAAAAAAAGAGCATAGGCACAGTTTAATAACTGCCTTAAATAACTGAATTGTTTAATCTGAATTTTGACTTCTGATGTAGAAATTGTTGGAGATTTGGATCTTTTACTAGGGTGTCAATATCTGCTTCATTAGTAAAAAAATCAGATTTTTTTAAACTTTTCAAGGCAGCTGTTTTGAACAACTGTTCTACTGAAATTGATACTTCCAGAAACCTAACCCAACAGTGGGGAGAAGGTCACATAAGTGCACTGTTCAGGATCACTTTGCAGCAAGTTAGCAAATTTCTAGCTGTCAGCCATCCAAAAGCTTGAGCTGTAATGCTAAAATAGTGCCTTTTCTAGTCCAAAAGTCTAATATTTTTGATGGGTACAACATTGAATTAATTTAACTTTATTAAAAATTTTAATTCAGGCTGGGATTGTAGTTCAGTGATAGAGTTCTTGCCTACCATGTGTGAGGCATTAGGTTCAATTCTCAGCACCATATATAAATAAGTAAAATAAAGGACCATTGACAATTAAAACAAAAAAATATATAAAAAAATTAACTCAAGGCTTTAAAATTATTTTGGAATTCTACCTTTTAATTTAATCACCATTATGTTAGTATGAAGTTGTGCTTAGAAATTATCTACCTGAAACCTCTTAACTTTGTTTGACCATCTTAATGAAATCTCTTAATCCACAGAAAAAGAAACTATATTTGCTACTTATTGAAAAGAATGAAGAGCTAATTGGATTTTATGAATAAGTGTAATAACTTGTATAAAGGGAACCAGTAGGAGTTAAAAGTATACAAAGCAAGTGCTAGCATGATGACTTCATATAGTAGTTACCTGTGGAAAATTAATAACAAATTATTAATAAGCCCCTAACCTGCCTGGTGTTAAATTATAATCACACACCTCTGCTCAAAGACATTACGCATTACTAATTAAAATTTCATTTTTCAATATACATTGGTTTTCTTACAACTTACTAAATCCCATTATGTAAAGGTCATTCAGAGACTGTGATTGGTTAATTGTGGCTTTAATGGAGGATGGAGGGCATACGTGTAGATGATAGTCTGATTCACTGGCAAAATTGATGTGAAATTGTCCCTGACACAGTTAACTTGGCTTTGTCAAAGTAATGAGTTTAATTTTTATCAAATAAAATCAATGCCTCACACTGTTTATAAGTCCATTACTTTTCTGAAACAATGAATCCTTTATGAAGCTGACTAAGAAGCATGTCACAAAGCTAAATGCTCTTGAATTAGCCCACTGAGTCACACACCCCTGAGGTTGCTTAGTCATCTTATTGCCTGGCTGAGTCTCACATTTACAAGGGACTATTTCCATCAATCTTTTTTATCTCGTTGTTCATTATTTTATTTTTACAAGATTAAATTTTCTTCTTAGGTAAATTCAAAATCCAGAGATAAGGCCACATGCATGAAACTACCTATAT